CATTAATACACACCAACTAGGGTGTATTAATACAGACATCACACCTGTCTTTTTAAGGATTCTTAATCTGTGAGTGGATCAAGCTACAACACAGAGCTCCCTTCCCTGAAAATCCACCACAGTTAATCCTGCCCCCTTTGGCAAGACTTCTTCAGAAGTCTACCTTTTCAGAGAAGCTCAGTTTTCACAGCCCATCCCTATTTAGGGTCCCCTTGGCAATGTTGCCATTTTATATCACTATAATATGCAATGGCTTTTAAATAATGTTTACTGTATTTTAAACAGTGTGCAAAGGCAGGCAGGGAAAGATTCTTTACAGAATCATTGACTATGACTTATGGTGCAGTGATGGAACCCTTAAGAGATTCTCAGAGCATAGCTATCCATCATTTCTGCATATTAGTTATAAAGTAAATGAAATCACCTCACTTTGCAGAATTTAGAGTGTTTTCAGTAGCTCCATCTCCTATTGCATAGTCTCAGTACAGAATTAAACAAGCTGAATGAAAAGAATTTACATAGGTGTCCACTTCAGGTGACTAGCAGACCTTATGCAAGATTACCAGTAACAATTAGTGAATGACAATAAAACTTGCAGTGCAGAAGATTGCATTCATAGCATAGTGCTCTCATCATTTCTCTTTGTATGATAAAAAAGTCTCATCTCCTGCCCCCATTACACTTTGGAGAAAAAGGGACTTCAGCTTTCACACAATATTAAAAAAATGCAGTTTGCAAGTTTTCTTTGTAATAATAGACTTACATAAATTACAAGATAAATGGCAAGTGACAGTGAGAGAGACAGCTCAATCTGTTACTGAATCCTTGGAATGGTTATATGAAGAGCATGGGCATTTCAGGCATAAATCTTTTTTTTTTCTTTTAAGTTTTTACTGCTGCTAGTGTTAGTAAATTAGCAAAACTATCTAGTGAAACATACAATGTGCAGTTAACATATTTCTACTGACAATTCCACAAGCTTCTTGTTATGTGAATCATAACCATATGGCCTTAGCATAGAAATGGTCTCATGTTGCAGGCTGACAAAACAGTTTAACATCTCTAAAAGAGTCATTAGACTTTATCATGGCAATTGCAAAGGATGATCTCCATGTTATAGATTGTTATGATACCCAGGGCTATCATAAGTCAACTCATTGACCTGTTACAAACCTTCTGTGGAACAGATTGATGTAGCACATATATAATAGCTTGATTTTCAAAGAGGCTGAGTGTGTCCAGTTCTCAATGAACTTAATGGAATTTGTGGATGCTCAGCAACTCTTGGGGCAAGAAGAACAAACAGGCAAGGTGGCTGGGTGTAGAGTAGAAAGTTTGGACAATGTATATTGCAAATTCATTCTACAGAGGAACCAAACTGAAGCCATCTCCCCGTTCTGTGATATTTCTTCCCTCTATGGACCACTGTCCCAGCTGGGGGGCACTAGCAGCTCTACTTAGATGGATGCTTAGACACACCTGCTACTATTCAATGCTAGGAGCCTACAGCAGACTGGCAAGAAGATGGGAAGAGCAAGATATGAACAAAGCTAATTAAATGCACGCTTTAAATTTCAGAAAAAAGAACAGGAGTACTTGTGGCACCTTAGAGGCTAACAAATTTATTAGAGCACAAGCTTTCGTGGGCTACAGCCCACTCCATCAGATGCATAGAATGGAACATATAGTAAGAAGATATTATATATCTGCACACACACACAGAGAGCAGTGTCTCGTTGGAGTTTCTCTTTTGCATAGAGACTGTCCAGTTTGGCCAATGTATATGGCAGAGGGGCACTGCTGGCACATGATGGCCTAGGCAAAAGAATAATTGGACACAAATCTGACATCAGGAATCATAACATTCAAAAACTGATAGGAGAACGCTTCAAGCTCTCTGGCCACTCAGTAAAAGGCTTAAGGATGGCAATTCTGCAACAGAACAGCTACAAAAACAGACTCCAAGGAGAAACCTGCTGAGCTTGAATTAATATGCAAACTAGATACCATTAACTTGGGTTTGAACAGAGACTGGGAGTGGCTGGGTCATGACACATACCGAATCTATTTCCCCATGTTAAGTATCCTCACACCTTCTTGTCAACTGTCTAAATGGGCCATCTTGATTATCACTACAAAAGTTTTTTTCTCCTGCTGATAATAGCTCATCTTAATTAATTAGCCTCTGACAGTTTGTGTGGCAACTTCCACCTTCTGTGTGTGTGTGTGTGTGTGTGTGTGTGTGTGTGTTATTACCACAAAAGCTTATACTCAAATACATTTGTTAGTCTCTAAGGTGCCACAAGTACTCCTTTTTGCAGATACAGACTAACGCCACGGCTGCTACTCTGAAACCTTAAATTTCAAAGTAGATTACCCCAATTTCTGCAGGAAGCTGGCTTGAATTGGAGAGTGACAGTGGTGACTGACATCAGATGGAAAAACAGAAGCCAAAGTTGTTAATGTCGCAATATATCTAACTTCATTTTGCCTGTAAATATGGTACAAATTTCACAAGCACACTGATTGGGGACCCCTGCAGTGTTTAAGCAGGACTTGCACTCTAAATTACCTTGTTTCGATTGGTCAGATGAATTGACCTTAGGGTTCTTTTTGAATGGAGGTTTTTCCTCTCGTATTTAATTTATAAATCTACTCCTGCCAGATGGCAGACAGCAGCTACTGTATAACACTTGAAATGACTCCCAAAATCCCACTCAAACTCTCACAAATCAGTAGAAAGTAAACCACCAATATAAAGCTCCGCCTAACCATGAAGAGTTGAAAATGCAGGATAACTTGCACTGTTTTTACAATGTCTCCAGTTATCACTCCAGTCCGCTCCCTGTGAGCTAATGAATGCACAATCTCATTTTAGTCCCAGGATCTGACCTCCTCTCTCTCCACACATTGTACGTATCGGTGGTCCACTGGTATCATCGTGCTACTGCTGCAGATTTACACCAGTGTCATTTAGGCCATGTCTACATTAAGGAAATTTGCACCAGTGTAGCTACCTCAACATAGTTCAAAAGCCACAGTGAGCATAAGTTCTGCTTTGAGTCAGTGTAGCACACACATATTTGTGATTTCCACAAGTGTACATACATAATCATAGAAACACCCATACAAATATCCTTAATGTAGACCGGGCCTGAGATCACAGTTTGGCCCACAATATTCTGAAGTTCTATTTGTTTTATTTATTGAAGTGCTCCATTTTTTCTATGTTTACACATTAAAAATGTCATCTGTGACCAGAGTCAGGAATAGGTGAAATAAACACTTGCTGTTCCTTCATTGGCTGAATGTTTGCATTTCTCCATCAGGTGATGTAGCCTGCTGTAACCCAGATTACCTCATCACCTCCACTCAGGAGTAGTTGCTACTCCTCACTTGGAGTGAAGCCACACCAGTGTAGTGTTCCCATAAAAGGCCAAATCACAGAGAGCCCAATATGAGCCCAAGTGGAGGTCAGAGTCTGATAGCTTATAGAATAAGAATGACACAAACCATACACTGAATTTGGAATTCAGCTTTTGAGCACATTGCATTTAAATTAAGGCCTCTAATCAAGATGGAGTATGACAGAGACATTAACATTCTCCCTCACTTACAACCATGAAGCATTAGATGTAAATGAGGGGAGAATATAGTTGAATGAGAATAACTGTACCCTGATGGTCCAAAACATTATAGCAATAATGTCACATTGCGAGTGTTTGGACCATCATTTAGAATGCCTTTTTAAATAAAAGCTTTGGTGACAGGGTAGGTCATATCTCTGAACAGTAAAGAGAGAAATTGATAGAGTAGGTTCTTTTATGCATGCATAGAGATCATAAAGTGAGATTAGTCTAGCTTCTGCGTGGCTTCCACTCAGGTAGTTCAGATTTGTATCAGTGTATCAAGGTGAAGAACTTGGCTCAGCATTTGCAACCTGTTGTTGCAACAGATTTGCAAGAAAATCTGTCAGTGTAAAAGTGCCATCAAATCTCATTACCCTTCACATGGCTAGAAAGAGAAAATTTGAAGATCTAAAATTTCAAATAAAGTTTTATTTGCACAGACCACAATGTGAGTAAGTCCTTAAGGATTGAAATATAGTGGAAATCATTGTTTTCCCCTCATTTATACAACTCTGTCTGACGAGACAGATTGTTCTGAAAGGCTGACTTAAAAAAACAAAATACCTATTAGACTGGAGCAGTTAGTGCCAATATTTATAGTTTGCATACATATTTGCAATACATACTTTTGCATAGTGCACACTAGAGCAGAACCTGACCAATTCCTGATAGACCAGCTGCACATTACCAAATATTGTGAAGGAGCTAGTAAGAGGGAAAATACCACAATGCAAGGGGTCAGTGATACCACAGTCACAAAAGGTACTCCGTGTCTTTAATACTGAACTGCAGATATCAAAATCATTTCACAGAACACTAGGAAGTGTTCTCCAGCATATTTTGTAAAGCCAGTCTTCCTAATATGAGACATATCACTACAGCAGCCCATCATTAAATAGCTGTGGCCCAGAACCTACATTCCTTGCATTCACCAAACTCCTGTCAACTCACTTGAGAGTTTTGGGTGTCCACTATTTGTGAGGGTAAGGCCATAGCTAAAAGATGGAGTGAGAATGCCAGGCTGCTTCTGAAAGTGATCCCATTTAGCAAGTGAGCAGTAGACAGAGGTTCTACCGTATTCTTAGCACGGAGGTTTTCATTAGTATTACATTGTGCAGAATCACAGCCTCACTACAAATTGGGCCAGTTGTGGTTTTTTGTTTGTTTATTTTATTAAATAAACTTAACAAAAAGGAAGCAAGTGCTGAGAATAGGTGGAGCCGCTGCATAGCCATTTAAAAAGCAGCAGAAGTAACCTCAAGTTAGAGTTCATGTCAACAAAATATTAGTTGAGCTCGTTTTATCTGAATGCATCCTCAAAACAATACAGACTATTATAGATACACTGCAAGCAATTTAAGCTTGACTCACCATACTGGCAGCGTGGACCCTGAAATCCTGCTGGACACTGGCACATGAGGGATCCTCCTTCAGAGCATTTCCCTCCATTGAAACAAGTGCCTACAGAGCACAACACTAGAAAAAAACAACAAAGAACAAAGAAGAAACTTCATTGTACAACTCTTCAGAAAGAACGAATACCTCAGTGTGTCATATTCTGGTTGTAATAGAAGCCTCCCAAACTGATATGAATCAGGGGTTTGGTTTTCATTGAACAAGTTAAATTAGGGGACTAGGCAAAAAGAATCTTCCTTCCAGTTATCATACAGATATGATGTCCCAGTCCAGGATAATAAAATATAATATAATGTAATGTAATAATGGCCTTGGGATAGTTTAATGGGAATGGTGTGGTTTGACTTTAAGATGTTTAAAGGGTGAAAAGCACAGTCTGGCAAGATTGAGAATGCTACCAGGTTCCATAGGGAGAATGATGGAAGGGTGGATGAATTGCTGTGGTGTAATGCGGAGATGATTGAAACTGGCATCTCAATAGATTATGTAACAGCTACGGTGAGACAATTTCCTCCCCGTCCCTCAAATGCACAATACAGAACGAGCTGAATCAAAACAGTCTCCTTGTGCTTGAATGTATTGAATATAAAGGTTAGTTCAGCTCCTCAGGTGCCTTAAAGAATTCACCAAGAGTCTGCATTATTTTTCCAAGAAAAGGATTTTACAATTCCATAGAAGTTCAATTTGATAAATTCCTTTTATGCTTCAGATTTGGTTACAGACTTTAAATGCATCTTTGACAGCATTTACAGAGAAGCAAACAAAACAGTCAATAGTCGGAAGCAGAAAGGGGCAAACCCTCAAGAAAAATGACCACAAAAGCAAGGACTCTGCATATAACCCTAAAACATTTTATTTTGTTTAGTCTCTCTCATACAAAACATAGGCCAAATTGCTGTACAGGGGAAAAAATAGCCAAAGTAGAGAAGTTCAGAGGTACAGTAAATAAAATGGAGAATCTGAGGTAAAGAGATACAGGAAACCTGTAGATGGTAAGAGCTGTAGTAGAGAAGTTTCTAGACCCAACAATGGCCATACCCATTGTGGAGGACAGAGCAATACCAGTGCTATATGAGTGCAAGGTGCAGAGCAAGAGAGTCAGGGCCAAATTTAGTGTTGGTTTAAGCAGCCACAACTCTATTATTTCAAAGAATCTACATTTGCTTATATCAGCACTAAACTGGACATCAAGTCTATGGAAGGCCAGCAGAGAGCACAGACTGGCATACCAATAAACTATGAATATCGAGTTTCTAATGATAGCCCTTGCAAAGTATTTGTCAGCCATCTTGAAGATACCTGGTGCTACTATGCACATTTTTTTAAAAAGTCTATGATAAGAGACCATTCACCTTTATGGGAATCCTAAATGTATCTAAAAAGCAATAGAGAGAGGACATCTTTTCACAACACACAGTCAATAAGTATATAAGGCCAGATGGAGAAATTTATTCTATCTTTGCCTCACAAAGTTGGATGGATCCAGTCACAACTTACAGTACAAGCAGCCAGGTTCGTCATCTTGTTGGGTCCATCCTGGACAACATTTATAGACAGTTCGATGTTCTATGATGTACACTTGTTTGTACACTGTGTAATACCCCGTCCTATCAAGTAAGAGTCAATGGAAGAGAATTATCCCAACTTCCTTCTGTGAAGCTTATTCAAAACAAAGCAGTAATGTACACAGGACTTAATACGTCACACACATTATATCTGTAACATGCGCTCGTTTCAGACATTATCAATGGTTCTTGTACCTGAGAAAGTAAAGTGAAACATGCCCCACTGTCAAAAACTGGTTTATCACTTAAACAAATTCTGGTTCTAGGTGCTTAGCCAGTGACTTCCACCGGTTCAGTGGTTTGACTCTTTAAAACTTGGTAGCAAATGTGTAAATTTTTTTTGTATTTTAAATTAAATGGCTTAACAGATTAGAATGTTTAGGCCTTAATATAAACCTATTCAAATAAAAAACCCTTTTAAAAAATAATTTTTACCCACCACAATAAATGCTAATGTGCAGAAACACATGCCTCTGATTGATAGAAATACAAATTGACTGCAAAATCCCAACAGCACATACTGATAGATCCATAGCAACTTTTTTGTGGGGAGGGCTAAAGGTACTGGAATACATTTCTCAGTACATACTTCTTGGGCAAAGTATGAAGCATTCCTATCAATTGCCTTACCAGAAAACAGGTAATAAAATAACTTAGTTAGCAATCATGCATTACCTTCTCTCATAGCCCATACACCACCTGTGTCCTGTGCAGCCTTGTTTCCACATCTTGACAACCTGGGCAAAAGCCTGAACACACGGCTGTCGCTGTCCCACTATTGCCAGCTCTTGTTCCAGACATACATTTGGCCTTTGGGGGAAAAGGAGGAATAGAGAAAAGGAATATAAATATAATAATCTGTATAATACACTAGGAAAGTCATGTCAAGAGAACTACATAAATGGCTGATTTATCCTCTCCAAACTGCCCCATTTCTGATTGTATGCTAATGTGTTATTCAAAATTATTTGAGCGATACTGGAAAGGGCTGCTGGGACCAGGAGCCAGTACTCCCAGGTCTCCTTCAGCCCACCAGGCTTGAAGGGCTGTGAAGGTGAGCAAGCAGGGTCCTGTCAGAGCCTCGCCTGTGTTCTGTTGGACATATTTAAAATAAAGGTCATTTAAAATAAAAATACTTCCATTGTCTCAGTGAAACTTTCTGAATTCAATGAATCTGTATTTTCTGACCAAAAAAGTTTCACTGAAGAATTTCTGACCAGTTTTAGCTAGAACAGACATACACTATATGGATCGAGCAAGAGAGAGAGCCTTAACACACACTGACCAGTAGATTATACACATTGTGAGACAAGCCCTGCACCAAAGAATTTACCATCAGAGCATACGGTGTGAAATCCTGGTCCCAGAGAAGTCAATGGGGTTTTGTCATTGACAAAAAGGAGGGCAAAATTTCACCCATGGTGTCAAACTGTTGATGTCTTTTTACGCTCAGTAGCACTGCAAATTAAGGCCCCGATCCTATAAAGGTTTATGCATATGCTTAACTTTAAATACTATGATTTCAATGACACAAGTCCTGTGAGTAAATTTAAAGCTATGGTTAATTCTTTACAGGGCCCAAAAACTTAATCCTGCTTTCAATAAAATCAATGGCAAAATTCCCACTGATTTAAGTAGGAGAACATCACCTTACAGGCAAAATGAGAAATGCAAAATTTCCAAGAGTTACTATAAACATGAAAATCATTTTCACATAAATGTGATCAATGGCTCCATGTCTAGTTGGCAGCCAGTGTCAAGTGGAGTGCCCCAGGGGTCGGTCCTGGGGCCGGTTTTGTTCAATATCTTCATAAATGATCTGGAGGATGGTGTGGATTGCACTCTCAGCAAATTTGCAGATGATACTAAACTGGGAGGAGCGGTAGATACGCTGGAGGGCAGGAATAGGATACAGAGGGACCTAGACAAATTGGAGGATTGGGCCAAAAGAAATCTGATGAGGTTCAATAAGGATAAGTGCAGGGTCCTGCACTTAGGACGGAAGAACCCAATGCACAGCTACAGACTAGGGACCGAATGGCTAGGCAGCTGTTCTGCGGAAAAGGACCTAGGGGTGACAGTGGACGAGAAGCTGGATATGAGTCAGCAGTGTGCCCTTGTTGCCAAGAAGGCCAATGGCATTTTGGGATGTATAAGTAGGGGCATAGCGAGCAAATCGAGGGACGTGATCGTTCCCCTCTATTCGATATTGGTGAGGCCTCATCTGGAGTACTGTGTCCAGTTTTGGGCCCCACACTACAAGAAGGATGTGGATAAATTGGAGAGAGTCCAGTGAAGGGCAACAAAAATGATTAGGGGTCTGGAACACATGACTTATGAGGAGAGGCTGAGGGAACTGGGATTGTTTAGTCTGCAGAAGAGAAGAATGAGGGGGGTTTTGATAGCTGCTTTCAACTACCTGAGAGGTGGTTCCAGAGAGGATGGTTCTAGACTATTCTCAGTGGTAGAAGAGGACAGGACAAGGAGTAATGGTCTCAAGTTGTAGTGGGGGAGGTTTAGGTTGGATATTAGGAAAAACTTTTTCACTAGGAGGGTGGTGAAACACTGGAATGCGTTACCTAGGGAGGTGGTAGAATCTCCTTCCTTAGAAGTTTTTAAGGTCAGGCTTGACAAAGCCCTGTCTGGGATGATTTAATTGGGGATTGGTCCTGCTTTGAGCTGGGGGTTGGACTAGATGACCTCCTGAAGTCCCTTCCAACCCTGATATTCTATTAATATTCTATTGATATTCTATAACTATTAATCTCAGGTTTCTTGATATCACTTCTGTATGAAATGACAAGGACATTCTGCTAAATATTGCAAATTTATGGCCAAAGCAATCATTGATTATTTTACTGTAGATCTAAACAATAATCTCCATTAGATATATGTCACATATGTAATTATTTCTCCTAGGACTAGATAATTCTTCTATTTCAGGGTATTCACTAATGTCTCATAGTAGGCAAGAAAGATTTGCATTTGCACTATGATTTCTCCTTCTGCTTAGTAGATTTAAAATGTACATATAACATTCATTAGCACTTATAATTCATAGCTTGGGACTTCAAAAAAGTTTCATTCAGTTTATGAATGAAATGTTTCATTGCAATTATAGTCAGAATGTAAGGATCAGATGATACAATAGGTTAGGTCTCTGGTATTTCCCTCTTCTAGAGTCCAGAGTATAGATTTTGATTCACAGCAAGATCAAATACGAAGGTGTAGGGGCAGTTCCACAGCTATTGTAAACTGTCATAGCTCCATTGAAGATCTGCCCTGTATTTGCTATCTACCCTAGCCCCCATCTATGAAGGCGGAAAACCCCCACACACCATGCAATTTGGTATGACTAATAATTGTTACCTAGGAGAGACAGAGGACTGAAGATGGGCAAGTTCTACAGCTCAACAGCAATTGCCTGCCTCATTTTCTTGTCAGTATTTCATCTTAAGGGACCTTCCCAATGCCACACAGCAATTCAGTGGCAAAGTCAGGAGCAGAACCCAGGTGTACTAATCCCCATTACTCTAATCTAACCATTAGCCAGAGCCGCCTTTGCTTATTTTATCTGTATTCGAAGAGGCACACGTTTTAGCTCCATTCTCCCATTGCTGAAGTTTAAAATTTCCATGCATATCTCCCTTTATCGGTTGCTTAAAGCTTTCCAGATGCAGGTACATTGCAATCCTAGTGATAAAGGAAGGAAACCAAAAAATTTTATAATTAGTTATGGACCCTATTTTGCCAATCCTTCTGTCTTTTTGTCCTCCATGTTCCCATGACTAATCCCATTGACTTCAAGAGTACTACTAATATGAATAAATATTACTCACATGGAGAAAAGCAATGCAGGATCAGGTCACATGTTTATTAAGACTTTTGCAGAGGAAGATCAAAAATCCACACCATCCGCTTGCTCTATGTGCCCTGAACACCACTTAAAATGCAAATATTGACTCTCCCCTTCCCATCCCACCCACCCGCCCTCACCCTCACACACAGAAACAAACCGCAGCAATTCCATCCCACGTAATCCTCAACCAGCAAGACAAGCAAATGAACACTCCCTCTCCAACAATTAACCACATTCACATTCTTCCCCTTATTCCTCCACCTCTTCCAATGATGGGGAAAGCCAGGCATAGCATTCTGATTAATTTATCCTTGCTACATTACATACAAACCTAGAGAAGTTCCACTACCCAGGATATAATTATTTTAAATATATTATAATGATGGTTCTCCATTGAGTAAAGGCCAGCTCCCCTCTCAGTGTGACTAAATCTTCTATCAAAGCAACAAGTGGGTTCAAGGGCATGTTTACAAAAGGAGAACTCTATATGCTTTTTATTCTCTTATTCCACACACAATCAGATGCTATTTGTTAATGGGCTTTTAAATGTTAAGCAAGCAAACAGTACAAAGTTTATATTATGCTTTATGATTTTATAGATACAGCAATCCTCAAAAGCTTTTTTTCTCTTAATATGCTTTTCATTGTCCGCCAAAACCAACACAAGTTTCTTAGCCTGTCAGTCTAACTTAAGCAAACCAGAAAGCTCATTTTTAATATGTACATTATGAGACTGCCCTTTAAACAGAGAGGCCCCAAACATTCCTAACTCCTGGGCTTATCGTCTAATGAACAAATAATTAGATGTACTAGAAGAGATAGCTGCTACAGTTAATCATACAGACTGTCGTTCCTGTGAATCACTGCTTACTATAGAAGAGAAAACTTCATCCTTAGCAGAGGTAGAGTTAAGTCCCATAGTTATATTTCTAGTAAGGAACATGTAGCATAGAACTGTGTGGACAATTCTAATGATTTTATCTCATAGTATTTGGAGTTTTTCTAAAAGCCCCCAAACCAAAAGTCATGTAATTGAGTGAAAACCTCACCTTTCATTTAAAAACAAGTTTGCAGAGAAAAGTTTTGGGGGAAAAGACCACTAAAAGCTCAGAAGACAAACAATGTATTATCATCTCATGTTTTTGGAGGGGCTGACTCAGGATTTCTGAAGCCCAAGGGTTTGAAACACTGTAAATAAAGGAATTCCTTTTCCAGCTTTTCATAAGCAACCAATAGTAAATCAACTCTTATTCCTGAATGAAATGAACCACAGTTTATTGGCATGTTCTAGCTAGCAGAACTCACACTGATATTACAAGCTGGCCCCAAAACAAGGAAAGAAGGGAGACTCTTTCCCCCTCCCCCATTACTGAAGCTTTTACTCAGTCTTTACCCAAGTTAAACTCCCATTTGTCTAAAGACTGATTATAACCTAGAGTGCCAGAACACTCCCTTACCCATGGAAAAACCAACAGGAGGAAGTGCAGTGGGGATGACCACTCTGGATCACTTTACAAAGGGCAGGTTTCACCTCCTGCAGGCCAGAGACCTGAGTGATGCACCAGAAGCACAGAAAGAGACATCTCTGCAAGCTTCCTGTGCCTCCCTACAGCTCCAGAGCCTTTGCCTTTATGGATAATCATGACAACCAAAGGGGACATGGTGCTGGAGGAGCTTCTATTCTAACCTTCTGGGATGCCAGACTATATAAAACAGCCCTTGGTTTCATGCTTGCTCATCCTTATGGATTCACATGTGTAATGTCAAGTTACCGCTGGACAAGAAATTTCCAGAACAGAAAGGATGTTAATGACTGGATAGGACCACCAAGCAATGGTGATGGTTCAACCAAAGCTATTACAATCAATGCAGATAGCACTTGTGGAACGGTTGGGTCTGTGAACATAGGTGGCGTCAAAGAAGGAACATGGTTATTTTCCGAACTGTGGTC